CTAACCAACTACTGCAACATAACGAACTAAATCACCCAGAACCGAATTCAGGGTTAAGCCAACAAGTTCAACATGGAAGACCTAACCAACTACTGCAACATAACGAACTAAATCACCAAGAACCGAATTCAGGGTTAAGCCAACAAGTTCCACATGGAAGACCTAACCAACTACTGCAACATAACGAACTAAATCACCCAGAACCGAATTCAGGGTTAAGCCAACAAGTTCCACATGGAAGACCTAACCAACTACTGCAACATAATGAACTAAATCACCCAGAACCGAATTCAGGGTTAAGCCAACAAGTTCAACATGAAAAACTTGACCAACTACTACAGTATAACAAACTTAACCACCCAGAACAGAAGTCAAGAGTAAACCAGCAAAATCAACATGGAAAACCTGTCCAATTACTGCAGCATAACAAACTAAATCACCCAGAACTGAATTCAGGGTTAAGCCAACAAGTTCAACATGGAAGACCTAACCAACTACTGCAGCATAACAAACTAAATCACCCAGAACTGAATTCAGGGTTAAGCCAACAAGTTCACCATGAAAAACTTGACCAACTACTGCAACATAACGAACTAAATCACCCAGAATCGAATTCAGGGTTAAGCCAACAAGTTCAACATGAAAAATCTGACCAACAACTGCAGGGTAACAAACTTAACCACCCAGAACAGAATACAAAATTAGGTGCACGAGGTCAACATGAAAGACTTAATCAGCCAGATCAACATGACAAAGTTAACCAACTAGAGAGCCATAATGGTGAGATTGAAGTATCTCTGCATCAGTCACATAACATAAATGTAGCTGGTAAGTGAAACAAATGAAGTCAAGTTGAATTTAATTAGACGTATAATGTTGAATGAATAAATTAAACTATGCTAATTTATTAATGCTATATTACAAAAAGAATACTCAATGTTTTTTGTGTTGCAGTGTCTCTGTAAATTGTTAAATGTCACTGCATACTGTAGCTGTACATATTTTCATGCCTTGATATGTAGGGTGCCCTTAAGTCATTGAACCAACTTGTTAACTGAGCTGTTGATACAACTTTCCTCGGCTCAAAGGAGATGTACAGGCAATAATCGATCTATGTTTACATATGTACCAGCATCTCCATAGTAATTATTGTAATTGTGTTCGCCATTCAGGCGTACAATGTTGCCATATCTGGTACCCTTATGTTATAGACAGTGTCCTTTGTATACCCCCATCTAAACTTGTGGGAAAAAACAGACATCAGTCTACCTCATGCTACAAATGGCAAGTGTTTATCTGGTGTGGTTCCTATTCTGTTCAGTTTAGAAAACGGTTCAGTAATTTATGGACACCCTGTTTTACAGAGCTCTGTACACTTGAACTTTCATGCCAATGTGACTAGAAAGTGCTTCAGTTGAGCTGTGGCTTCATTCTGTTAAGTTTATAAATTGTGTGTTCGTCATCAGTTTTATTGAAGGTCTTAAAAAAAGTCAGTTTTTCCGTATACTGATTAGCTTGTTAAAAAATAAATCTAACTTTGAAAAACAAAAAAACGTTTAGTAATTAAAAACTTGTTTTAAATTGATTATGTGTGGAAAAGCTTACAGATCGCATGTTTGGAATATTTCATTTTTGCCAGCTAGAGTTGTTCTATCTATAAAGTTGTTGTACATGAAGCTATGTACAATGTTATAAGTATTAAACTTTATGTGCTTGTGACCTGTCGAACTTGATGTATTAAGTAATTATTATTTATACATCCCCCAGGTCGTTTTGAAACAATTTTTATCACAGGTGTATTGGTATATCGAACTGCTGTATTTTTTTATTAAAATGATGCCACACAAGGGCTTTATTTCCACACACTTGTGAAATAAGTAATTTACCCTACTGACTTGTTACACTGCTAAGTGATGAATTAGGCTGTTTTCACACTCTTGCATTTTGCAAGGTGTACTACCATGATTTATTTACGTGTAGCAACATGGCAGGAGGAACAACACAAGAATACAGTATGTTGTGATGCAGCCCTCTGTATTGCAATACACAATTAAAGTAACTAGGAGTTAAAAAGTTTTCACTAAAATGATGACAGACAGAGCCTATAAGTAAAGATCTTTCTGAGTAACAAGTGGAATACACAGCTCAATCCATCTGTTGGTTAATTTTAATAACAAATAATGGCAAACACTAAAACAGAGAAATTTACATGATGGTTGGTTGGTGTTCTTATTATAAAGGCTTGCCCCTCAAAGTTTCACCACAAGAAAAGCCAAAGAAGCTCAACACAATCATAAAATCTAGTTCGTACTCAAGTGAAAAGAAAGGTATCCAGACTGCAACATGGATGATTGACTCTGTAAAGAATCATGGAGGTATGAAGAAAAATTCATTAAATTCCATAATAAAAATCTTTTTTTCTTTCTAGACCAGAGGGGGAAGCATCACTGATATTTTCTGTTTTTTTAGTTCTCAGAGTAAAAATACTTAACCTGTTTACACAAAACTTAATACAAACTTTCCAACTTGTGTCTAGTTTCCCTATGAACAAACTTATAAAGTTTTATTTAGTGTTTGTGTTAAACTTTGTATGTTCTTATTATTGATTAGAAAGTTCCATTTTATTTATCCAATCATTTTTGAATTGTTTGATATTCAACAGTGTTGACATCATGACCTTTATCAATAATTATAATTTGTTTTGCAAGAATAAGAAGATCCGAAGATGTTGTATATGTTATTTGAACGCAATAGACTTAATAATACAGCCAATACAAAAAGGATTTGTTATCTGAATAGTCTGCCATTGTAAGCCATAATTTACCGTACTTGCTGGAGTTCAATGTCATTACTTGATGTTGTGTCATAAAAGAATGTTCTTGTAACTTTCAAATAAAGGTGACGTAACAAAAATACTATCAAACAAAGGTGACGTAACACAAAAATACTATCAAATAAAGGTGATGTAACACAAAGGTACTATCAAACAAAGAGGTGACGTAACACAAAGGTACTATCAAACAAAGAGGTGACGTAACACAAAGGTACTATCAAACAAAGAGGTGACGTAACACAAAGGTACTATCAAACAAAGAGGTGACGTAACACAAAGGTGCTATCAAACAAAGAGGTGACGTAACACAAAGGTGCTATCAAACAAAGAGGTGACGTAACACAAAGGTGCTATCAAACAAAGAGGTGACGTAACACAAAGGTGCTATCAAACAAAGAGGTGACGTAACACAAAGGTACTATCAAACAAAGAGGTGACGTAACACTATAGTACTATCAAACAAAGAGGTGACGTAACACAAAGGTAATATAAAGAATGAAAAAATCCTAAACTTCTGAGTAATTGAGAAGTGTTTAAAACTTTTGGCTTTACTTTGGGCAACTCACTATTTTCAAATGTGTAACTAATTTGTACACATTACCAGCACCTCCCTCCAAGGTTCTGATGGTCCATTTGGGCAGTACAGTAAATATGAGGTCAATAAAGACACATTTAGACAAACAGAAGGCATTTGTACTTAAAATGTACATCAAGCTCGCTGAAAATTCTGAAGTCTGATTGGGAAAAGCTAATACAACCTCAGTATCCAGCAAAAATAAATACATAAAGATAATTTGAAGTGTAACGTGTTCATCTCAGGCAAATAGTATTGATGGAAATGAAAGTTTCAAGTTATTTTGCATCTTTATTTATGAAGTAAACTAGATAAGCATTATATAACACTAAGATATCAATTATGCAGTGTATTTGACTAAACAGTTGTTAAAATCTAATTAAAATTATATTTTTTTATTAAATTTTGAAATTTAATCTGTGAGTGAACACTTGGAATAACTTGAATGTCCACTGGCCGAGATAAGGTTAATCCATGTATATACTGGTGTTGATTACTTATATTGGACCACTTGGAATGACTTGGATGTCCACTGGCTGAGATAAGGTTAATCCATGTATACACTGGTGTTGATTACTTATATTGAACCACTTGGAATGACTTGAATGTCCACTGGCCGAGGTAAGGTTACTCCATGTATATACTGGTGTTGATTACTTATATTGAACCACTTGGAATGACTTGAATGTCCACTAGCTCAGATAAGGTTACTCCATGTATATACTGGTGTTGATTACTTATATTGAACCACTTGAAATG